ACTCAAACGTTAGAACAGGCTTTTCCCCGCAGCACGCCGTGTAATAAATACTCACAAAGAAAACAGCGGCCGTTACAACTTATGTCTAAAAATGTATCGTTTCATGCATCGGTTAAAACACTTGACTCCAGCTACATGGCGCGCAGCTGGAAACACTTCCCGCAAGTCGAGCTGCCTGAGATTCACAGAATTTACAGAAAATGTTACATTTTTGTGATTTATATCCTTATCGGACGATAGAATTCTATATCGGGATATGAGATTTTGGTCATATCGCACAGCCCTATATGTTTACATCTCAGACAAGCAGATAGTAGGGACTAAACTGAGACTCTCAGCTCTAGGTCTGCTGGGGGGGGGAGTTGCGAAGGATGAGCTATTGCGGGAAAATAAAGGAAAAAAGTAGAAAAAGGGGGGGTAAAGTGGAAGGCAATAATAAAAGTGACGTTGAATATGAGAAATTATTTCCAGGAAAGATGATGAGGGGTTCCTGACCATCCAATTACCTCTAACCAGACTACCTGCAGTGTCTGCCTATTATCAGTTGTGTAATTTCTACCTTTTTCGCAGTCATTTTCAGAATTCAAGCATCAATGAAACACAAAGTAACACAAATTGTGTACCCACACTGCCCAGCTGTTACACTGTGTGAGTGAGAAAAGTCAGGTGACAAAATCCAGACGAAGCAATTTGGTCCTGTGTTTGGATTTGTTATTTTTGCACTCACAACATAATATTTACGAATGTAATGTCAGAACTTCGACAGAGGCAGACAGATACTGAGCAGAGTGAAGAATGACTGCAAACAACCTACAAAAGCTGTGCCGCAGCTTGTAGTTCAAGTGTTATTTATGGTGCCAAATGGAATAAGAGCACAAAGGTGATGATATCTCCACTGCCAGCATAACTTCAATCAATATTTCATGTGCCTCATTTAACAAAAGGATGGAACAATCCAGACGGTTAAAGCTGTTGCTATTCTGAAAGTCCTTTGTGCCAATTTCAGAAAATGATAGAAGCTTATCATATGCCAGGTTTTTGCTGTATTTTTAAGTTCGATGCACTCACACTCACTATGCTTCAAAAAACGAGAATGTCATTTAATACCATTTTCTTGCTACTTAAGGCTCCAATATAGGAATATCAAGGAGCAACAAAAGGCTCCTGTATAACATCCACAGAACCTCTGCTCTTAAAGACAGCTATGGTCATTAAATGGCCTGCACTCAGTATCCTGTTCATGTTTGCATGTGACCATAGACTGTATATAAAAAGATTGACACACATTGGTTTTGGACTCTATGACTTGAAATGATGCGGCGCTAACGTCGCACACTGTTGGTGCTGTTTGAGAGCAGACAACGCACTGAAGCAAGGCACCTGGAACCAAACATAAAATTAACATCCTTTGCAGTTCTGCAGAAGTCCAGGGGCTACTAGAGGCAAAGCAGAGCATTTTTATATATTGGCAAGTAAAAAAAAACCAAAAAAAACCCACTAACGGCACTTTTCACATCTCAGTTTAGCAACTTTTACAGCCCTATATCCTCTTTTAAATTACTTTCCACTCAATCAGTGCAAAACAATCACTCTGAATAATCTGTACTTCATTTAATTAAAACATCCACCACATAAGTAGCATAAAATAGAATAGATGATTACTGCATCCATTCTTTTTTGCTGCCTTTTATAAACATCAGGCTTTCTATGTGTTGTACCAATCACAGTGTTTCCTGCAGTGAGTGATGGTGATTGAAATTCCACAAAGGGCCCTGAACAGCCTCCTGCAACTAAATCTGATTTAAGTTGACAAGTGTATAAAATACAATTAACATTTGTGCATACTATTAAATTTATTTCAATGAAACTAAATACACTGTGACGTCGTGCAACAAGTGAGTGGGTTTACCTTTAAATCCTGCAGATTTTGATGCGCGTCACTCCCTGTCAGACTGTGACAGAACTGAATGGAGCTCACAATGAAATAAACTGCAGGACGTCAGTCAGTGTTAATGAATAAAAGATGAGAGAAAACTCTCACTGTTCAGACTGTACATTCTAGTAATCCTGCATGTAAATAGTTCTGTTGCAGACTCAGGCAATTCAAAGCCTTTTACGGTTCAAGTAACACGCATAGTATTTTCATTTTGTACTTAACGAGGTGCTTTCGCCATCACATAAAGATGACACACATCAAGTTTTTATTTTTAAGGGAGGATTTAACCCAAAGCCCAAAGGTACTGTGACATGCTGACTGGGGATCAAACCACCAACCTCACAATTTATGGACAATCTGAACCACAGCTCCTTAACCAACTGTGGGCTTGTTGTCCCAAATATTAAAAACAGTCCAAATTCTTTCAACCAATAAAATGATCCATGTAGTGCATAAAGTATCGGATAAAGTACCGAGTATTAATCACTCCAGTTGTTTGTGAAAAAAAAAAAAAGGTTTTATGAGATCGAGGTGATTCAGAGGTTAACAGCAAATTAGCTAGCTAGGTGACAGCTACAGATGACATGCCTGCAGTCATGTGAAAAAAATATTTTTTTCAGGAATCTCTGCAGTTGGGTAAAAAAACTTAAGTACACCCACACAGCTTCCAAGGGAGTTAAGAGTGTAAGCTACAGGTGCTGCTAGTCACATGCACTTAACCCTCTCAAGGCAGGCGTTGCAGATTTGCAACAGTTAAACACTAACAACCTGATTTTTTACTCAGAAGTACCCCTGCAGGACGTGGTTGTGTATTAGCAACTAAAACTTAATTTGAGCCTGAGAGGGTAAACTGATAATCAGCAAGTGTGAGCACCTGTGTAAAAGCCAGATGTTTGGGCAGTTTGCCAGATAGGCGCATTCACGTGTGTGTTAACACAATGCCAAGGAGAGGACGCCCCAGCAAATTGACTGCTCAGTGAAAGAAACTGCAAAAAACTCAAGAGCTACATCTCTGCAGGCCTGATGTGATACATCCGCACAAACGCCCCATGCCAACTGTCAAGCACAGTGGTGGAGGTGTGATGATTTGGGTTTACTGCATTGTGCGTTGACTGAACTGCTCTGTATACCAAAGAACTCTACAGTCAGACTGAAATGCTGTAACAGGTCCTCAAAAGAGCTGTGAACAGAAATGTGCAAACCTCAATGAACTGAAATAATGCCGCAAACACATTCCTCAACAATGATTTGAGATGCTGATAAAGTCATACAGAAAATGATACTACCAGTGGTGGCTTTACAAGTTGCTGAATTATGGGGTAATTTCAGTTTTGGTTCCCATTTTCACAAGACTGTGAAGACTGTGACACCACAACTATAACTTTGGAGATGTTAAAGACTAAAACCTAATTACCAATGACATTTGGAGAGTTACTGCAGTTGGCTGACATAACAATGTGCCATCTTGTGGGTAGCTACAGAGTGTTTTTTAGACTAGTACATTAGCACAGTGAAGCTCTAGGATGAAGGTTAAATTTTCCTCCATAAATATACACAAGGATGCTCAGCAGGCAGAGATAAATGCCAGAGCTTGTGAAATTAGCCCATCCATAACACAAAGGATGTCATTAATATGCAGCTGTGTGGTTTGGATTACTTGCTGTGAAAAAGTTTTGATCCCAAGCTTCATGCCGACCCTGCCAAAGAGTCATTGGAGAACAATGTGAGCCCATCAGCTGCAGCATACACTGTCGGTTTCTAACTAATCCAGGTGATTGGACCTGGAAACAGGGTTGTTACCTCATCTAACCTAATAATTTAACAAGCAAATAAATATGAAATATTTTTTAAACTAAAACGCAGCAAAAGAGAGCAGACCTCTTAGATCCAGTGGAACCTATACATGGACAGTCAGAGCTTAAAAACCCTCTTTGGGGAAGAACAGCAGCTATTGTAACAGCAATTTGAACAAATTAGATACAATTACAGCCCATTAGACTTAGTTGAACAGAAACATTATCCCTGTGTTAATCAATAAACCCTGTTTATGTGGCATATTACAACCATGAAATCAAATCAGATTTTTTAAAGCCTGTGTAAGTGCAATGTGTGACTTAACTGCAAAGGTTCACATCAGGCTGTGGTGTGTTGTTCTAACAGTACTATAAATCCAGCTTAACCAGTGAGCTGTGCTGGAAAAGCATTTTCTGTTGCTCTTCAATATAATTTGCTATAACATAAAAGTTTTTGTCCTGTCTTTGTGCTCCATCCTTCCTATCCAGCAAAACCAAAAAAGAAGAGGTTACCAATTAAGTTTGAATATTATATTTTGGTAATTGATTAAATCTTAAGACTCATATATGAACGGAAATTTAATGAAATTCAATCAAGCAAATCTTTGTAAATAGAAACAAGAAAGAAAAGATTTTATGGCAATTCAAAAGATGAATGTTGCATCAAAAAAAATAATCAGATCCCCTTGTGAATGTTTGCAGTGATTTGATTGACTGTTTAAACAACATTAACTCTTCAGTCTACTTACCAGCCCCTTTTCCCTCCTCAACTTGCTCCCCTTGTGCTTTTTTAAACATGAGTGATTGTTCGAGTATCGGGACAATTTATTCCATCGCGCCTGCCTGCTGTGTCCAAGAAATTCAACTCCTGTTTGCTAATTGAGGGAACATTACATTATAACATTTTGTTAGTTCATTAGTGATGTGCAAGTCACCCTGCATGGATAATATGAGCCAAAGTGTGCATGTGTACATGTGCAGGGTATTACAGCACACCACCAGCGCCCTCTTAAGGCAGCAGAGGGCAATGACATGAGGTAGGTTTTGTCACAAGGCTTCGAAGATTTTAAGGGCACCACCTGCATGCTACATTCAATAGCCCAAACGCATCTGCACAGTAAATACAGCCCAGCGCATCCTGGCTCCCTCTGCATCGCCGGACTGTTATTGTTCTGGGTGTGCGACAGATGGCTCAGCGTGTGGATGCAAATTGTTTGAGGTGTCTTTTGTTTTTCTGCTGTGCCTGCAAATATGCAAACTAAGAGGGTTTTGCCATATTGTTGTTGTATAATAATGCCTCACAGTTTTGTTTTCGGTTTATGGTGGACAAAAATTTCAACACTGTTCCAACAAGAACGTCACTGACAACGCGGCAGAGTCGTGCCATGAGTCGGTCAAATGTTTGCTGGCATGTGTGGGATTGCCTTGTGTTACTTTTGTGAGGAAGATTCAGACTCAGCTAAATATGAAGTAGCACTTAAAAGATCCTTCACTGAAAGTACTCTTAGGTTTCTGTTACAAGGCTAGAAATGCTTAAATTACATCCATGCCTTCTGAAAAAGCCTTGCAAAGTTTATATGCAATTCAGGCTTCAAGTTTTCACATCACTCTCGTGTAAACTGGACCATGATTGGCTTCTAAACTGGATGTGATCTTAATAAAAATTCAAAAACATCCTGCTTGCATACACAAAAAAAACCTTTGATTTTCACAGGACTTGACTTAGTTGCCTGAGTAAGGCAACATTAAGGTAAACGCTAGGGTATGACTCTTGAGAAATGAATTTAACACAATAAATAAGAAATAAATAACAAAGGCACATTAATCTGCTGATGATGATACCAAAAAAATCATCTGGCTCAAGTCCTGAATTTGTTGATTTCCTGGGTTTGATTTGGGTCAACAAAACCACAGTTTATCAGACGTGTCACCTTCATTAAAGTCTCAACAGCTGCAGCTCAAACCTCACCCAAGTTTTGGTAAGATCGCTCCCTTGGGCCTGAAATCAAAGAAAAAGTTCAACTTACCAACATGCAGATGTCCATGGGCAGGTAGACTTTCCGTCGGCTGCTGTGATAAGGAGTCGCTCTCAGACATGTTATGATTCCCTGAGCTTTACCGATGTGACTCGCTGCGTGGTCCGCTTGGACATTTTTGACACCTGCAAAGAAAGACAGCCACACAGTTTGGCATCACCTACTATAATTCATTTTCACAGGTAAATCACACTCCTCACTTGAGGCAAAAAACAGGTTTTTGTTCTGGAAATAAAATGCTGTGTGGATCAAAACCATTAATTTTTTTTCGTAACACCAAAGTACACCAATTAAAGCATCTAAAACAGACTTTACTCATTTTGAGGGGCCCAATCCTAACTACAGTCCTTCCATTTTAAATGTCTCCAAATCATAATCCAATATGACACATATAAATTTACTTCAGTGTTGATTAAATATGTATTTGGCACATTAGAGTAATAGCCACAGCCTTCTTCTAGCCTCCTGGCATATTTACTCACAATGTGACACAATTAGAGGGAGGGGCCTGCTGGTATTACAGAATGATGAATCCACCAGCACAAAACACCAGAAACAATATTTAGCAGGATACTGAATGCAGAAAGAAGACAAAATGAACAACAGACCATTTATTTTGACCTATATTTAAGTTTTTAAATGGCTTAAATGGTAAAAAGCAGAATTTGTGCTGGCTAAAATGAAACTTGGGAATTTGCTAAGAGGGTTAGACGAGCTGGCTTAGACCGGCACAGCTGTCAGAGAAGAAACAATCACTGACCAGATAATTTTTCCCTTTTCACACTCTGTTAACTTTCACTCTCATATCCAGTGAAATGCTGCTGTGCAGAATCCGGCTGTGATTAAAGAAACCTGCAGCCACACGGGCACACTGAAGTGACAACACACAGCAGAGCTGAAAAAAAGAAACTACTGGATTTTGACTGGATTTGTTTCAGCAAACAATGACCCATAAAATATGGATGGATCTGCCCAGATAAAGGTCTTTAGGAGGGACTCGGGACACCCCTCAATTTATAATTACTGTTTGTCTTTTAGCTATCAACACAGTTTCTTACCTAAACACTCCAGCAGGAGGTAAATCAAGGATGACTGTGTGTTCTCTGAATACGCCTCCAGCTCCTGAAGGTTCCTGTAGGCTCTGTCATCCAAGTCCTTTTCCTGGTAAAACAAAGTTTTAATAACAGAAATGTCACTTTTCCCATTTTTAATTACGCTAAACAGCAGCTGGCAAGTTTAGTTTTTATTTCCATTAAAATAAGCCATTATTTAACCTCTAAGGGCACAGGATGCAGCCATCTGACAGGTCTTGTAGATAACCCACAAAGCGAAAATAATAAATGAAAATTGAAAAAAAAGCAAAATATACACATGCAAAGACAAGTTTATATTGTCACATTTAAGCAGTTATTCGTGTTCAGTTTCACTCATCAGCAACTTCATTTATTATATCACAATTTAAACTTGCAGCAATTTGAATTTAATGATCATCTTAATTTTGTCTTACTCTCTCTGTTATGATCCTCAGCAGCCATCTCTTTGTCAGTTTGTGTGTCCTCACTGCCTGAAAAACACCACACAGACTGTTAATTAGCTAAGGTGCAACACTGATTCAGATTGGTGCCCCTCAGTAATTGAAGCCGAGGGACAGAAACACAGAAATCCGACACACTGCATGGCACGTTTAAAACTGAAATAAGACATCCAACATCCTGACAGTGTTTCCCCTATATATTGCTAACATGAAGAAAAAACATCTTAAAATACCCTGTATTCTGTTGGCTAATATTTACCCTCCACAGCTCAGTGCTAACTGGTTGGTTCGGAGGCTCATCTCTGTAGATTTCTTCTATAGCCGTCTTCCAAAACTGCATTCGCATCAAACCAATGGTCTTTTGGGAAACAGAGTCCTTCACCTTGTAGAGAAAAAAATGAGCAAAACAATTGGTTGACGAGCCAGTTTGAGAAGGACCTGAAATTAGCCACTGTAAGGCAAGGCAAGTTTATTTGTATAGCACAATTCAACAACAAGGTGATTCAAAGTGCTTTACAGAGACATTAGAAACAAAAACAAATAAAAAGCATGATTTAAAATTGATTAAAACAAGCAAGCAAACAAAAAACAAACAAACAAAACAGTATATAAAATTTGGATTTGGTGCTTTATTTAAATGCAGCTGAGAATAAGTAAGTACTGTAAGGATTTCATTAAATTCCTTTCTTTTTTAATTTTAATTAAGAGGAAAGTCAGGATAGAGGATAGTCAGGAATAGTGGCGGTATAACAGTAGTAGCAGCGGCAGTGACGCAAGTAGTAGAAAAACAGCAGTATTATCAGTAATCATTCTGCATTCAGCCTGATTGTACCAATACCTGCCTGTGCCAGCTCCACATTGAAGGCCCTCAGAGCCAGAGAAGAGCGCCGTGCCTTCTCTGGGAGGAGGAGAGAGGACAGGAAACCATCATAGTCTCTGGACCTGAGGAGGAGAGAGAGAACGAGCTGATAGGGGTGCCGGGAAGCAGATGAGATTTCATGTTTTATCCAAAAACATTTTCATACCCATATAACAAAATAGTCCCATTAACTTGCTACTTCTGTATAGCCTTTGACAACACTGTAATTTTGCATAAGTTGGACAAGATAACTTCAAAAGCCACATTTTAAAACACTTTAAAAATAATAATAAATAAATAGGAGATTAAACAAACCAATTCTCTTAAATATGTTCAAACAAAAATAAGTTCACATCAAACACGACCGAAAGAGCTTGTTACCTCCAGTGAGTTTCTGACAGTTTTACTAAAAACTAAACAAAAGTACCTGCAAATAGGGATCCCAGGGAACAGTTCGGGATCCCAAAATATTAGGAAGTCTTAGTTGTTAGGGATTCTTTTAAGAAAAAAAATTCAAGTGACCCACCCATATTCCTACAAAATAATAGTATTTTGAAACGATTGTTTTTCTAAAACATTTGATCTGTAAGTTCTCATATAAGAGCTCAAGCAACCAATGTTAATGGGTGGAGAAAATAAGGGCACAATATGTCTTTTTTTCTAGCACCATTTAGAAATTAGAATATTAGAGATCAGCTTTATAACACAGAAAAGAAAGTCAGCGCTGCAGATTTTGTTTAATCTTAGTGACGGACAATAACAATGATCATATACATACAACAAGGGGAGGTATGTGATCCTCGTGGCTTTTTTACAGCTGTTGTTTCCATTTTAGTTCATTTTCTGAAGATGTCATGATTTAAATTATGATCATATCAGTTCATAACAAGAATAGAACTGGTAGTTTCTCATTGCAAGCTTAAAAGGGCTTTGTTTTTACAGGCCTCATTGAACTGACCAGCAATGAGAACCAGAAAGTCCAAGGAATCCAGTGCAGATCTAAGGAGAAGTGTAGATTTACACAGGTTGGGGAGGTCTCGTGGAGCCATTTCTAAACAACTGCAGATTCCAAGATCATTGGCTTAAAAAATGTATGAAAGTACAAGTTATTCGGATTTGTCACCACTTGGCAAAGGTCTGGAAGAAGACCTAAACCAGGGGTCCCCAATCCCAGTCCGCGAGGGCCGGTGTCCCTGCAGGTTTTAGATATCACCCTGGGTCAACAAACCTGAATCACATGATTAGTTCATTACCAGGCCTCTGGAGAACTTCAAGACATGTTGAGAAGGTAATTTATCCATTTAAATCAGCTGTGATGGATTTAAACTGGGATTGGGGACCCCTGACCTAAACTGTCGCCCTCATATGAAAGGAAATTGCTTAACGATGTTCAAGAAACCCACTAAACACCAAGGCCCAACCCTGCCATCAGAATCAGAGAGACTTTATTTATCCCCAAGGGGCAATTAACATACAACAGAGCAGAGCGTTGAAGATAAGGGCAGGGCATAAACAGGCAATAAGAGTGAGATAATATGAATGAACTATAAACTGCTGGCGCATTAAAGAAATAATTAAAATGACATACAATTTATATTCATTTGAATAATTGGTGTATGTAAACTGTAGGTGTGCGATATTTGAAAGAAGTCTTGCATAGAGATGTGTCCCCACAAAACTTAAAAACTTTAGATTGCTTCTATTTATTTATTTTTTTCAATAACAGGACGAAGTTTCTTGCTATAAGTGACCGGATTATATCTGCTTTCTATAAACACAGATTAGCTAATTAACCACTAACCCAGTTTGTGTTGCTAGCAGTCAGACCCACCTAACCAGATCCAGGCAGTACTTTTGAGTGTGTTGTGAGTCTCCCGTCGTGCTGGTTGATGCCCTCACACTCTGTATTTCGGCTGCTCGCTGGATACAAACACTATAAGGTGATATTTTCCTCTGAAGACCATAAACCAGCCGGGCTTTGCTGCATAATAATCCATGTTTCACACTAACACCAGCCGCCATGTTCCCCTTTAGCGTGCACCCCGACCTTGTGTTACATCAAAATAGTTCACCGACCACCTTGAACCAGCAGATTTATTTATTTATCAATAAAATAGCCAGCGCCCGTGTTGTTAATTAATTTCCATTAAATATTTGAAATATAAAATATAAAAAATACATCTGATTTGTTAAATAGGTATAAAAGTCCTAATTCAATTGAACTGATTGTAGTTACCGGTGTTCCGGTAACACCACCGGATATGGCATGACTCTGCTGCCAAAATAAGAGCCGGTATCCTATACTCACATTTACCACAAATAGTTGATGATTAAAATAAGGGGAGATTCTGTTTGTTTTTGAATGATTTACGAACATATTGCAAAACAGACGTGAAATAACTTTCATATCTATTCTTCTGACAACGATGTGCCACATAGCAACCATTATTTTGAAATTTAGCAGGAAAAGGAGTTTGCCGTGTGTTTTCTGCTGGCTTTGATAAGGATGTGGGATCCACAGGAGGAGACAGGAGTTTGACAGGCTAATTTTCCTCTTCATATGGCAACAGAGTCGGTGAAATGTACGTGTGTCTGGCTGCTGTTGTGGCTCTGTGTCCGGCTGTCCCAGACCACAAATACCCGGTAAGGCGCTACTTCCTGGTTGAGCTAACTGTTATATATAGTCAACTGCTAACTAACTGTTGTTAGCCAAGAATAAAGATTAAAAAAAACGTGTCTTCTTCATTTTCTTTTTCTGGTAAAATAAAAAATCACTTGAGGTAGGTGGCTGACGATATTTCGGGATGAAGTTGACTTAATGTGCAGTGTTTAATTACCTACACGTCAGCATACAAACTTAGGTAAAGTCACTTGCCAGCTGTTGGGTAACAGTGTCCAATGTTTAAAGTCTTATCAGAAGAGTCCAGAGTTCACTATTCACTCTTGCGGTTATTCACTAGTAACCGCAAATACAGTACGTAATTTAATGTGCTTATTTAAATACATCTAATAATAAATAATAACAGCATTAACAAACACGTGTAAGTCATTTGTGGTTGGCTCGATTGAATGTCTTCTCACTAACTAACAGTGTTCTTTACACTTAACTTTTCCCGTGTTTCTGTAATTGCAACTGTACATAATATTTATTTAACCCAAACTTTTGGTCACAAGACGAGCCGTCACGTTTTTGGTTTCATTTAACACGGAAGTTGACGGTTGGAGAAAATGTTGACGCAGTTGGATTTATTGGCCGCAAGACGGCGCTGATGTATTATAAACTTGAAACTTAAATTGGATCAGTTTTGATATTTGACAGTAGCAAGTAAAGCCTAAATGTCATTCTTTTAGCCAGAAACGTTATGACTTCTCCTAAAATTAACCAAAATACACAAAAATTACAATTTAAGGTTTTGTGCTATTGTACAGGTGCTACAAATGTTTGTACACAGAGGCTCACCACTCTTTGAATAAATGTGGGTCAGTTTGACCCATATCTATTCAGATGGTTTTTAGATTCACCAATCATGTATGTGTATTTTTTTTTTTTTATGGGACAGCAGTTACAGAGGTTGAGGGGAAAAACTTGACAGGCTCTGAGCTTTCTCTTGGTAGCCTAGCTTCTTTCCACTGTCTAAATGCATGTGTGTCTGAATAAGTAGGAATTCTGTACTGACAGGCACATGAAGTGTATGTATTAAAGTGTTATATAAATGTATAGTTAAAAGTGTGACTTCTTGTTAGAAGATCTTTGAGGTCAGTTAGACTACAAAAGTACAATATAAATTCAAGTACATTACGAGTCCGTCAGCGCTGACAGGTGCAAAGCACAAGAACTCACAATTTAAGAAAATATACAAACAAAATATAAGCCAGTATTCTACACCTAATGAGATGAAACTAACTCAGAACAGCTGAGATTAAACACTCTCTGAAATGGAACCTCCTTTGCTTTGAATGCACATACTGATTTGCAATAAGAAAGTTGTATATTCTATATGTTAATATTGATAATTAAGAGGTAAAGGATTGTGTTTAGTGGTTGCAGTGGTTATATATTGGTTATACAATAAATCCTAGTAGTTCTAAACATTCCTAGCACAGCTCAACTGGTATTATGAATACACTAGTATTATGAATACACTATTATTATTAAAGATATCTGCAAGAAATAGTTAAATAATATTATTAGAGTTTCAGTTAAATACAGCAAAGGAACAGCACTAGTGGAGGTTACAAATTATTTTCCTATGCTTCGGGCAGTGGACTCTGTTTGCCCTGTTAGACTTAACTGCAGCATCCACTGACCGCAATGTTTTACTACAGAGATTAGAACATACTGCTGTTATTAAAAAGAAACTGCACTGGAATGGTTTGAAACATATCTATGTGCAGTACTATCCATACATGCTTGTAATACTGCATACATAATCTTTGCTATGCAGTTGATACCCAGCTATATTTATCTGTGAAGCCAGATAACACATTTAAGCTACAGGCATGTCTTAAATACATAAACATCTGGATGTCCTGTAATTTTCTTTTCCTAAATTCAAAGAGAACTGATGTAATTAACCAGATACTCACCTAGCAACACTGTGAGAAATCTTATTGCCAGGATATCTCCTTCAGTGCTCACATTAAACAAATGTGTAGGTCTTCCTTTTTCATGTAAGCAATATCTCTAAAATTAGAGACATCCTGCCTCAGTGTTAAGCTGAAAACTAGTTAATAGATTCTAGGTTGGACTAGCTTTTTTTCCTCTTCTCTTCCCCAAGTGGTCGTGGGGTTTTTCCTTTCCACGATCTCAAAGTGTTTGGTGATAGGTGGTCGCTTGAATGTTAGGGTTTTCTCCTAAATACTGCAGGACCTTTACCTTATAGTATAAAACAACTTGATGTTATTGTGCATTGACACTATAAAACACACCTTAATGAAAAAACTAGTGGTAGATGTTAGGAGGTCCAAACAGGTGGTTTGAGAAAGAACATTTATGGCCCTTTTAGTGGAAAAAATACTGGCTACAGCAAAAGTTCTCAGTAGGGAGGGTTCATTTCAGCCAGGTTGCTTCACATACAAACTCAAATGGTGGAAAAACTGCCAGCTGGCCAGTGACATCGTTTTTATTGGCTCTGGGCCATCAGGCTATTGGTTTCATTGAAACCTGAATAAAAAAAATATAGTAAAAAGAACCAAAATATTCTTACTGGGCAGTGGGCATACATACAAGTTATTTGTTTTGTGTATATATACTTCAGAATATAAGAATTCTAAGAAACCAAATTAAGGAGTAAGAGTTTAACATTCAAATAATAATGGGATCTTTGAAGATTTAGGAAAAAAACAGGCTGCGCATGGACTATTTTTGCATGACCCTGAGCAGAAACCACAACTCAGCACTTTTGAAAACACATTCCTTCATGTGATGAAACTGTGATTTGACCAGCTAAGGCTGTGATGAAATTTTCTCCATTAAAATATGTTCTCACATGATTTATTTGTTTAAAGATTAACACGCAAATGCGTTTTTATTTCCACAGCGTCCCTAAGGGGAAGGGGTTTTTGTAGCTCTTATTTTTGGAGATGTGGGAATGTTTTTCTTCCTCACAGAGAGCCAATGGGACACACTGAGCTACTAAAGGGTTTATTGACATTACATGTTGGTGCAGTGGATATCAGGATTTGTTATTTTTGTTGCTGTTATTTTTCTAGCGAAACTGCAGCATCTAATATTAGTCGAGGTGTCTGTTTTTAACACATATTTGTTGGCTACTAACTAATGATTACTAATAATTTCAATAATTTGTTTTATTTTTATTATTATTGTTTTGGTTATAAAAGCATGGAGTCCCTTGTAATCTCAAAGAACCCATAGTAATATTCAGTTTGCTGGCATTGATCAAAAAACTGTCCAGAATAATATGGTATGTGATAGGTTGGCAGTATATGACAAAGCAAAGCACCAGAGCTTTGTTGTGAGAAGCTGGAACTAGAAAATGTTTGGCATTTCTGCACAAAAACGTACACAAACGTACACAGGTGGCACTTTCTAATTGACTTTTGTCACTTTCAATTAAGACCAACAACTCTTCTCTCGTTGCAGAGAGTCTATGGACGATGACATCCTGCTGCCCTACACACAAGGCCACGGCCCCTCCCACTCTCATCGCTATGTCAGGGATTGTCAGCCCATCATTCATGGCAACACCACCTATGAGAGCTGGGCCTCCAGTAACCGCAGCGGGCAGCCGGTTGCTGAGACCAAGTTGTTTGTGTCAAATATTCCGGGGAGCTCCAGAATTGTTTATGGTTAGTGATGACATCATAAGTTAAAGGAACAAAAAATAATATCAATCTCTGGTGTTTGATCAATTGATCCCTCTTTTTACTTCTGTACTCGCCCACCTTCATCTCAAAGTGTTGGCAAGAATCCTTTATTATATATCACTGAAGATTCAATTTCACCTCATCCTGCTGCGGCTTTCTTACCAGGACACATGACAGTGGTCAACGACCCCCTGAGGACGGTGTCCGTGTTGGAGCCAGGGGGGCCAGGCGGCTGCGAAATGAGAGTGAGGGCAACAGTACGAGAGACGGCTGAAGCGGCTGAGTGCCTGTATGCGCAAAATGCTGGTTTCTTCAATACAGTAACAAGGGAGTGTCTGGGAAACGTGGTGAGCAACAGCAGGGTGGTGCGGGACAGTGGAGGACTGCAAAATGCCCAGTTTGGAATCAGAAAAGACGGCAGCCTAGTGTTTGGGTAAGAAATGCGGCTTGAAAATGTAAAACAGAGAAATCCGTTTCAGTGATTGTTGATTCACCATTAGATCATAGCCCCAAAGACAAAGGATGAGTTCATCCAAATACTCAAAGATATCTGCATGAACAGACATGATCCAAGGTGAGGTAATGTTTTATATGCAGTTTTAAACACCCTTTAAACAGCATATTACACACAGTATGCAAGGAGGCAAAAAAAGTCAAACCTTTTAAGAAGTGTGATCATACATATCAGTATGTTTTTATTTTCCAGACAGCACGTTTTCTCCTCTCAAGTGTGTCTCAAGTACCATTTCTGTCAGGCATCTGTGCTTTATATGGCTGACTGTTGGATATTTTCCTAAAAAGATAAAAACCCTAAAACAAAGGAAAAAGAAAAGATGCAGAATTAAAGTAACAAAAATGTTCGTGTCAATCCAATTTTATATATAGCACCAAATAACAGCAACAGTCACCTCATGGTACTGTATATTTAAAGGCATAGACACTAAAATAATATGGAGAAAACCCCAACAATCAAACATCCTGGTATGAGCAAGCACTTGGGAACAGTGGGAATGAAGAACTCCCTTTTAACTGGAAGAAATGTCTGGCAGAACCAGGCTCAGGGAGGGGCAGCCATCTGCTGCAACCAGTTAGGGGGGGGAAGGGAGGGAGACAGGACAGAAGACACGCTGTGAAGTTACCAATAATTGTAGAATTACTGCTAGATTGAGCTCTCAGATTACAATATTCAACGTACAAGCCAGCATTTATTTTTACAAGGTACAGCCCACTTTCACAGTTTGTATCATCAGTGTTTTCAAACAGCCAGAAACCACACCGTGAATAAAAACAAACCTCTTTCCATTCCCTCTTTGTTCTTAACTGTACCTGACATCATGGCACTAAAATATCTTCTCACCTCTGCCTCTGATACTGGCCTCTTTTCAGGTTTTGTCCCAAGTAATGCACATTTGCAATACAGTGACTTCCTGTTTGCATAAGCTTATAACCTCTGCTCTTTTTTTTAATGTGAAAAACAAAAGAAGATGAGCTCATGTCTGAATCACTCACTGATCTAACTAGTGTTTATCATTGTAGCATGTTAAATCAGTGGAAATGCATTAAACTATCATCAAATTGTTGTAGAAAAAGAAAACTGCATATCTTTACATTAATGCTTTAAAGAGAATCACATTAAAATTGAACTAGAAGTTAAATGACACTCATATGTGAAGCCACCACATTTTCCTCGATGAACAAAAACAAAACATCTGCTCATCGTCTATCTTTAAACCATGAAGTACTCTATGTAACTTGTTTGTTTGATAACTGAGGTCAGAAATGCACATGATGCAACATGATGTGGTTTGTGTCGTCGGTCACACTCCCAGGGAGCGAGTGGACCTTAGTAAAAAAATAACCTGCTCACAGTCCTGCTTGGGCCCTTTGTGCCATCCATGACCTGTCAGTCGAGCTCATAATAAACCTACCTCTGATTTAAAATAGGACGCATTGCTTCGCCCACAAAATGACAGTTTTGGGTCCTAGTTTGAAGTGACTGTTGGGCTGTTTACTCCTCCAGATGGAGCCGAGCTCAGTTTTTCTTTGTAGACACAGTGTCCAAAAGTTCAGTAGCTTTGGTCTACTAAACTAAATCAAGTACAGAGTCCAAACAGCTGTTTGCTATGACTAATATGTTGTTAGATAACTGAAGTGTTGATATCTGTGTGTGGGCTGTGTGGTTTTTTTGTTTTTTGTTTTTTATTAAGAGACGCATCAAACAGCTACAGCGAGTACAAATGTGGGAACCACCGTGCTATGCTGTTTTAACATTATCCCTCTAAGTTAACAGAAATGCTGTTAAAGTTGATAAAGCTGCCTGAACCTAAAGTGGTAAAAAAGAGGATTTGTTAGTAGTCGTAACACAAAAGTAAAAAAATATTCTTTGTTTTCTCTGGGGTGCATAAAAAACTGTGCAAATTGATGTCAGACATTTCAGCCTGGACTAAAGTAGAGGATTACCTACCAGCATTATTTATCACCACAAATATCAAATATAGAAACATGAAATTATAATATGTACTACAGTAGTATTATATTTATTTTATTATTTATATATTTTTTGAATTCCTTTCTCCCCTCTTGCCGTTCAGGTATCTATCTCAGGATGACGTTTTGGATCAGTCCAATCCATTTGTCCAATTAGTCAGCGGGGTGGTGTGGTTACTGAGAAACGGCGAGATTTACATCAATGAGAGCATTGAGTCCGAGTGCAACAAGACACAGGAAACAGGTAATGATGCAAATCCACATCCAGCTGGATTCATTTCTTTGACCACATGTATGTATAAAGGTTTTGAATCGTAAGATTTTAGGATTTGAGAAATAGAGATATTTATAAATCTTGTCACGGTATACTGATATTGATGGTGACTGAAGTTAAGCAAATAAAAGTAAAGGTTGATTCTGACTGGTAGAATTTTTTTAAATCTTATATGGATATTGCGATATTATCTGTAAAGTCTCATTCCACGATACTTGCATAGTGAAAATTTGATATTAGGACCAGTATTAACCCAGATTTTTGGTTACGTTAAACTGTTACATAAAAGGATCCAGCCTGTCAGTAACCAACAC